TTCCTTCTGCAACGCTCTCTCTCGCTTTTCTTAGGCTATCTTAGCCGGGTCTGGTAATTTATGGTGGCTGAATAAAAGGTACAGTATTAGACGCATAAAAAAAGTGCGCTTAATACTGACCACTGAGCCTTGCCAAGGGCAAAAAGAGGTAGGGGAACCGACGAGAAACAGGCAACTGCCTACTCTCGTCTTAAACAAATTGGTTGTTCCAAAATGACCGCCCTGGTAACACAAAATTTCTTTGCTCTTTAAGAACTTTCGATTAGTTGTAATAGATGTTTTGGTGGTTGCAAGATTTAAATTTCAAACTAGTTTCTCATTTTACAAAATAGCTGATTCAAAATATCTGCCGTGATATCAGAAAATTTGATTCCTTATTCAAAGCTTTCGAGGAATAGTTACTCGTGTTTTAGTGGTTGCTGAATTGTAATTGTCGAAACGAAACCTGGAAAAAAAGTGGACCTAAACTAACTTAATTTTTCCAAATATCCGGTAAGCTCTACTTTAATATTATTCATCAAGATATTCTGCCTTAGTGATATTTGACTTGACTACAATGCAGGATTGAATTGGAAAAATAAAGAATTATCTTAACAATAACTTGCTCTTTTTCTCTTCGAGGTTAAAACAACGGGATCCCATTCAAAAAACTTAATTTAACTTTCAAATGAATTGAAGGTCAATCCCAAGGTTAAATTGAAAGTCATCATTGAATAGTTAGGAAATAATCTTATCACTATTATATGAAGCATTTCTTCTGAAAATATAACCTAGACAAACCATAATGCAGTTCCGAGTATTCTTAGATGCGAAGGACATTTACCCTTTGGATGATCTTTGGATCATCTTTGACCCCTCATGTATCTTATACTGTTGGAAAGGAAATGTTTCCCCTTTTTATTTCTGTATGAAAAAAATGGCTATTTCCATTTTGAAAAATTAAACTTGACCTTCGAATGACTCTAAAGGTCTAGTCCCAAGGCCAAATTCAAAGTCACCAGTGAATAGTGTGGAAAAAATCTTATCACTTTTGTATGAAACATTTTTTCCTGGACATGCTTTTTTTGCTGAACATGCCTTCCTGGAACTTTTGAGACCCCTTGTATATTCTGAAGCTAATTTTTTACCTGTCTTGACGCGAATAGATATTGACATATATTCTATAGATTAAGAAAAGATGTACCCTGACATATATGTGTTGTGTATACACGTGTCTCAGAGTTCAGTAGCTCATGGACTATCAGTCATCTTTACGATGACCACTCTACCATTTCCATCGGTCTACATAACGAAGGATCTGTTGCAGTACTTGATTTGCCCTTGGATATCAAAATCACCTCTCATCTTCATCTAATCGGGAAGGTTCCCTCAACCAAGCATTTATTATACACGCTTAGCATCATCTGGATATTTTTGTATCCCATCTCATTAGAAATGCCATTCAGACCTTAACTTATTTCGTATCATATTGTATTCCCGTAGTATTTACTCATGTACACTGCCCGTCAATCACTTTTGCCATGCTTACCTCAAAATTAGGCAAACTTGAAAGTTTTGTATCTCGGTCGGAAATCATCGTATCACAAAAAACCGCAGGGCATTTTAAAGTTAATTGCAAAAGCTTCCATTTAAGACGTGCAGAGACTTAAAACTGAAAATATGTATTTTTTACAGTAAAAAAACTGATTAAAAAAATTTCAATTTTTTTAACCGCGACTTAAATCAATGCCAATTTAGAACCAGGCGGTGGAGGGCAAATTGACCGGAGGGGTTCGGAGGGTAATGTCTTTCCCTTTAAAATTAGCTCCCGCGGGGTTCTATCCGATGTTTTTTAACCGAGTTACGGCGTTTTTTGTAAAAAAATAACCTTTTTTTTCAATCCTCAATTACTTCGACTTGCGTACGTTTTGGAAAAAAATGCCAAGGAGAAAAAAGTTTTATTTTGTGCCCAAGAATACGAAAATAAAGTCAAAATAAAGAAATAGAGAAAAAAATTTTTTTCGGTTTTTTAGCGCATTAAAAAAATAAAGGAATTTAATTTTTTTTTACGCTTAGTTTTAGTTTTTTTGTGATTTACTACGTCCCTAGACATTTTAAAACGAAGCGTAAAAAAAATTAAATTCCTTTATTTTTTTAATGCGCTAAAAACCGAAAAAAAATTTTTTCTCTATTTCTTTATTTTGACTTTATTTTCGTATTCTTGGGCACAAAATAAAACTTTTTTCTCCTTGGCATTTTTTTCCAAAACGTACGCAAGTCGAAGTAATTGAGGATTGAAAAAAAGGTTATTTTTTTACAAAAAACGCCGTAACTCGGTTAAAAAACATCGGATAGAACCCCGCGGGGGCTAATTTTAAAGGGAAAGACATTACCCTCCGAACCCCTCCGGTCAATTTGCCCTCCACCGCCTGGTTCTAAATTGGCATTGTTTTAAGTCGCGGTTAAAAAAATTGAAATTTTTTTAATCAGTTTTTTTACTGTAAAAAATACATATTTTCAGTTTTAAGTCTCTGCACGTCTTAAATGGAAGCTTTTGCAATTAACTTTAAAATGCCCTGCGGTTTTTTGTGATACGATGATTTCCGACCGAGATACAAAACTTTCAAGTTTGCCTAATTTTGAGGTAAGCATGGCAAAAGTGATTGACGGGCAGTGCATATATATAGGTATATGAGGGTCGTTCAATAAGTTCATGTCTTCTCGAAAAATCGTGGTGTTATGGTAATATATTTTACACTATAAGAGAGTCCCATCTAGTGTATAAGAACGTATACAAAGTTCCAAGTCAGTACGTTGGTTTAGAAATTTTCCACGGTCATTTGAATTTAGTTTTTCATTAAGTAAACAAAATCATGGAAAAAAATGAGTTTCGTTTGCTTATTAAACATTATTTTATACAGGGATAATAAAAAAACTAAAGAATAGATCAGGAAATATTATGGAGACTCTGCTCCATCGCATGGCATAGTTCACTAATGGTTTACTGAATTTCGTTGTGGTCGTCAGAGCACAAGTAATTCTGAGCGTCCTGGCCGTCCAAAAGAGGTAACTAATTAAAACATGATCAGTAAAGTTCATAATATTGTACTCGTCGGTCGTCGATCGAAAGTGCGAGGACTAGTGAGGCTCTTAACATTTCGGTAAGATGCACATGTAACATTTTATATGACTGTTTGGTCATGAAAAAGTTGTATGCAAGATGGGTGCCGCGCTTGCTCACAGCTCTTAACAAGCGAGCTCGTGTAGTTATGTCTGAGTAATATTTGAGCGTGTTTCAACATAATCCAAAGGAGTTTTTGCGATGCTATGTTACTGTAGATGAAAAATAGATTCATTATTATACGTCAGAAACGAAAAATCAGTCAAAAATGTGAACTGGGCCAGGTGAATCTGCCCCGAAAAAAGCGAAGACGGTACGATCAGCCGGAAAGCTTGTAACACGTACGTTAATAATTTAAGCCTGAACAACGTTGCGTCACAAATTATTTAAGGGGAAAGGCTCGGAAGGCGCATTCGCTGCGTCGCGAAAATTTAACGAGGGCTATGTCATCCGGTAATATAGATAATCGCAATTTAATCAATTACAAGAGAGACAGGTTCGAACAGAATAAACTCATCAATTCGAATATTTTACTCTTTATTGCAACAATACTATACATTCGGCTTTTGACGTGTGCGTCGGCCGCGTCCGGGCTAAGTTCGTTCCGTGCGAATTAACGCACAGGAAACAGAACGTCACCTTACAATTTGTCCCGTGAATTCCGCGAGGGCGATGCGAATTCACGCATCTAACCACTCGTCCGCGTCCGGCCTATATGATGCTCGGAGAGAGAGAAATCGAGGCGCGCACCGATAAACCAAAAAGGGTACCTGACCTTGAGAGGGAGCGCTGCTGCGGAAGTCCACGTCCTCTGAGTAAGCGATGTAGTTCTCGAAAGGCAGGATTCTCGATGCAGCCGGTCTTCCTTCTTGCTGATGGTCGCTATATGGTACTCAACCGCACAAACACTCGTTATGGTCGCGAAGCTTGACTAGCTGGCAATTAATTGCCGGTCAAAACTCTACTGCCCGCGATCTCGCGCCTTCCGCGCTTTCTTATACGCCCCTCCCTACAGGTACTCAAAACGGCCGAGCGCCGCCGGCTACGCACACATGTGCGGCTCATGCCGGCGACACTATTTCTCTCTCTCCTCCTCTGCTCCCCGCTCACGCCTATCCCTCTAACGCCAGGCATCTCCGCCGATCAGGAATCAGACCTGCAACAAAGCCACATCGTGCGTCGATACTCGGTTTTACTCAACCAAGACCGGTGTGGCAGCGGCTCAGGGGAAGGCACGCGGAAGAGAGAGAGAGAGGCGAACAGGGCGATCGAATCCATCGATCGATTCGCCCGTCACAAGCTCAAGGCTACAATTTTTTGTGACTCAAGTGGAATAATATTAATCGATTACCTACAGAATGGAACATCTATCACAGGAGAATATTGTGCCTTATTATTAGACCGATTTGATATCATACTGAAGGAAAAGCGGCTCCATCTGGTGAAAAAAAAAGTTCTTCCACTACGACTGTGAACGAGCTCACACGAATTTTATTGCAACGGCCAACTTATTTGATTTACTCTACGAAATACTTCCTTATCCACCTTTTTCTCCAGATTTGGCTCTTTCTGATTATTTGTTTCTTGACATGAAAATTTGGCTTGTAGGTAAAAGATTTTCATCCAGCAAAGAGGTAAGTGCTGCGACAAATAGGCACTTTGCGGAGTATTATAAAAATTATTTTTTAGAGGGCATAAAAAAGCTTGAGCACCGTTATAATAAATGTATAAAGTTAAAAGAGGACTATGTTGAAAAATAAATTGGAATTATTAAAATAAATAGTGTTTTTTTTATTTAAAGTCATAGACTTATTGAACGACCTTCGTGTATATATATATATATATATATATATATATATATATATATATATATATGTAATATGTATAAATTCTTTTTTAGGGAAACTAACATCCATCGAATTGCTCTTTTAACAACAATAAAAAATCAGACAAATATTGGACAACGTCATAATAGAACCTTTTCTTTATTAGAGATGTTCATACAATATGGGACAAAACAGTATATTTACAAACTTGTGGACCAGATTATTCATAATTCATCAAACTTCCATGTTTGGCATTTTGGATTATTCAATTATACAAATTTCATACTTCAACTAATGTATCCTTTACTAATATTAAATATTGTTCAATTTCTTATGAGGTAGATATATTGGTATAAATGAGCAGCTATGTCTCGTTAAAATATTTTTTATATTTTTATATTTTGAATTTATCGATCAAAAAATACAAAGATTATGGATTATTCCACGTACATTTGTAATTGACTAAAGACTCCTTTCTTGACCTTGCGGAAGATATATCATATTAATAGCCAATAATGATCTCTGATGGATGATTTCACGTAATATACAATAATAACGCTTTTCAAGCGAATATACGTTTTACTTCTCTCTTAATCTCACAGATGTGTGTCATACACAAGCAGTGTATAAACGTATGCGTTTTTAGATTTTGCGACGTAGAATTTATCATTAATAAAAAGTATAAACAATAAGTATATAATTAAAATTTTATTGAGATCTGTATAATTTTCTCCATTTTTAATAGATTAAAAAATATGTTGATCAGTAAGGGAGAAACAGTCCAGTAAATAAATCTACTTCTTATTTTTTATACCAACATTTCATAACCAATTTTGCTAAACTCATCAGGTTTTATTGAATAAAAAAACAAACAAACCCATTTTGCTTAAGTTAAAACAAAAATTACACAGGTACACAAAAAAAAGTGGTCTGTATAAAAAATGTCATACATATATTCCAATTACAAAAAATCTATTTCAGGAGGAAACACTAGTATTTTTATGAGTTTAAAGATCATTAAATCCGAATTTTCAATCCGTTTAGCCTCAGAGGATCTCGGAAACTACAGCAAAGAACGGTGTGAATGTTTTATCAATATATCAAGGAAATGGAACGTCAGTATAAAAGATAATGGGATATGATGGCAGATTTTTGCTGAATTCTTAAAAGGAAAAATGAACCAAAAACACAGAAAAGGAAAAGAAATCTGCTGCATAGATCTTTTAAAGATAATAGGGTCGGTCAAAAAAAAGAAAAGTGTAAATTTAGATATATTTATAGTACCCTCCATTACTTAAATGTTGTTTTGATTATTAAACGTGATTGGGGGAACAATTCTAACGCTGAATTCGGATCCAGCGATCCTTGAAACGTAAGAGAGCAATGTTGCAGACCAGAGTATATAAAATATCTTTCCCGTTTATTTGATTTCAAGCTGACCTTAATCTATATCTATTAATAGAATCAAGCGAACCTTGGATTTGAATTCAGCGGCCCTAAAAACCATAGAAAATACTAATCATTCCTTTTTAAACGACTTTTTTCCACTTGTCCTTGAATGCCCTTAAATCTGACGTGCTGGGGTTAAACAAATTGCAAAATGTGTACACCTATGAATCGCTGCCTAATTCGACTTGCGTCGCCATCTCACGCGTCGGACTTAGGGCAGGGATTGGCCCGTCAGTCGACCTTGCCAATTTCTCCTTCAGAGATAAAAAGAAGCCAGCTTCTGTAGACCTGGAAGACTCTTCTTTGTCTTCGTCGGTAACCTCAATGATTTCGAAAGAAACGTACTTGTTCTTCTCTTGGCTCTCTTTGTTAATGGTTGCTTGATGCTCCTAGTCTAAAATCCTAGACCATAGCGCAGCGCCGCTAACTCCGTCGCCAATTGGTCAAGCTGCTCGAGGTTGATGTTCAGCATCTCAAATAGAAATTTTCTCGCGATTAGAGGAGGTGTAAAGTGTGCGTGATCGTGTCAAAGGTAGCCGTCTTTTCGGCCTGGCCGAGGTTCTCCGGAGTCGCTGCTAATGATATGCGCTTCAGCCCGCTAGGGGGTTTATCTCTTAGGGGTCGGCATCTCATTGGCCTGGCCGAAGTCCCCCGCGGCTAATGCACACACGAGGTGATCACGCGCGTGATCCATCGGACAAACGCCGTTATTGTTTCCGCGGTCGCCCCAGCTTTCTCCTGGAGTATATGTGGGTTGGGATAGAAAAATAGCTGAATCGACTGATTCGCCTTTGACGATGAGGCGTATGGATTTTCTAAGATGACCACACCCTCGCTTGCGCGGCAGGATGGCGTGTCGTGACGGTTCCTCTTCTGCGGATGGTGGGCGTTTCGGTGGCGCGCCACGCCTGCTCCACGTTTCGATTTTATTCACTCGCACACTCGCTCAGCGTATTGCTCGTCGACTTCGCATTGCTCGGTGGTTAAGATGTAGCGACTTTTCCGCGCGCAGTTTTCTCCTCTTCTAGTCTCGATGAATGATAGAAATGTCTGAGGTCTTTAGCGTGTGTTAATCCTGACAGTTCCTCTTGCTGATTCTCACGTCGATAGGTACTATTCCCTACGACCTTGCAAATTATATATAGGGACCGACGTATGTGCGTACAAGATCGGCGGCTATTTCCTGTGCAGCGTTTGATAATATTCTGTTTTTCTTCAGTACTCAGTCGTCTACTTTGAACTTAGCTGGGCGACGCCTCTAATTGTGTGCGTGTGCGTAGCGGTCGCTTTTCTTGAGCGCGTCCTTCTTTGCCCTTCGGGCAATAATGGAGTTTCCGGTCAAGCGTTCTGTCCAATACGCTTGCGAGTCTACTTCTTACTCGGCGACGGCTTGATCAACCGCCCAACACAGATAGCCTAACGGATTGAACTGTCTCCCAAAGTTCAGTATCGCCAAACTTAGACCAGTCATGCTGTGCACCGCCGTGTTCAGCGCAAATGCGAACTCCGGCAAATACTCGTCCCATTCTTGATGTGTTTTGTGCAATAAAGCATTATTCATGGTCTTCACTATGCGGATTGTCCACTCAGTCGGGTTTGCTTGTAGATGGTAATGCGGCGTAAAGGAATCACTTACACTTGCCGTTTGTAGATAATCGATTACCGTTCTGTTTTTAAAATCGATGCCGTTATCCGATAAGAATGCCACTGGTGTGCCAAACCGCATGACTATGCACTATTGCAATGCCTCCTTGATCTCCTTGGCATTTGCCTGTCGTAGAGGCACGCACTCTATCCAGCGAGTAAACAAGTCGACCAACATGAAGACTGCGAGAAAACGACCATGCGATGTTACCCACTACCACCTGCCACATTCTTTTAATCACCCGCGACTTTATCAAACCAAACGAAGGTTTCTGCTCCGCTTTGCATTGCTGGCACACGACGCAACCCTTGACGTAATCTCTTACGTTAGAATACATTGCGGGCCAATAATAGGCGCGGTTAACTCGCACGAAAGTCTTTTAACGACTTGGGTGACCTGCTGTAGTGACGTCGTAGCATTCCCGGAAAATCTTTGCCCTATTTTTTTGGAAAAAGCGAGCTTCCACGCGTCTTCGTCCTCGATGATTCCAACCAGATCGTCGTCTGGGCGATAAGTGTACAGCGTGCTATCGATGATTACTTGTTTACTTCTTGAACCTTCTCAGAGTACCATGCATCGGTGGTGTCCGTTCTTTACGCGAATGAGCGCAACGTGACAACCGCAAGCTCATCGACGCTGTACAAAACTTTTCGGCTGGCTTTCCTTCCCCTTCGAACGCTCTTTAGAGTGCGTCGAGCAGTTGGTTCTGAGCTCCGCTTCGATACACTACTTTGAAGGTATATCCTTGGAGGGTCAACGCCCATGGAGTGAGACAGACAGTCGGGTTCCTGAAGCTCATGAGCCACCTTAGGCTATAGTGGTTCGTAACCACTGTAAATTCTTAATCCTTTACTTACTTGCAAAACTTGTGAATGTTCCAGATCACTGCAAGAGCCTTCCTCTCAACCATCAAATAATTGTACTCGGCCGAATTCAACACGCGATCTGTATAATTGATGACACTCAGTTGTCCCCCTACCCGTTGCATCAGTACTGCTCTTATGCCTGTCGCCCTCGCGTCTATCTCGAGTTTGTATTTGCCTTCGGAGTCCGGGGGATAGAGGCAGAGTGCTGACGTCAATAATTCTTTTATCTTTTTGAAAGCGAATTCTTGAGCATGACCCTAAATATATTCCTGTTATTTTTGCGTCAGCATCGTAAGGGGTTCAGCGACCGAGGCCAGGTTCGAAAGAAATCATCGGTACCACGATGCCATCCCAAGAAACCTCCGTAATTTACTCAAGTTTTTCGGTCAAAAGTACTCTACTAAGGTCCGGATTCGCTCGAGATCGGGCCCTCGTGATCGACGATCAAACCCAGATATCGGACGTAGAATCTACAAAACTCACATTTATCCGGGTTTATCGTAAGGTCCGCCTCGCGAATGTGAGACAGTACAAGCTCTAACTTCTCAACGTGTTCCTTGAAGCTCGATGAGATCACGAAGATGTTGAGATAGGCGAACGCGAACGGGCTGAGCTCTACTCCTGTCACGCTGTCGATAAAGCGCTGGAATATTGCGCCGACGTACGCTAGCCCGAAGGACATGCGTACGAACTGGAAGTGACCCAACTGTGGCATGGTAAATGCCGTTAATGCTTACGCTGTCGGAACCAGTTTGATTTGATGATATATGTTGCTCAAATCAATGCTCAATATGTATTTGACGTCGCGTAGCCTTAAAAGGATATCTTGCATGTAGGGGAGGGGGTATGCATTCGGCTCAATGACCTTGTTTAGCGTGCGAAAGTCGATACATAAACGGTAAGTGCCATCCTTTTTCCGCACCTTTACCACGGAGTTGGACCAGCCACTGTTCGCTGGCTCGATTATGCCGTTCAGTATTCGTTTGACAACGGCTGTCATCTCTTGTTCAACCTTGTTCGAAACGGGATTAAAACATTGCTTGATGGGACGCGCAGAACCGACGTCGATTAGATGTTCAATGCCGTGTGCGAAACCTATTCCCCTCCCACTCCACTAACTTAGCAGTCCACCGTGGCATTTAGCTCCTGTCTTTGTATGTTGCTTGCCTCTACGATGCCAGCCGCAGTCAATCTCGACCTAGCACATCGAGGCTTGCCATTTGTAGGCGGACTAGCTGCTGCGATTTTTTTTAAAGAAATAAATAATAATTTTTTTATAAAGAATAGCATGTCGTCGTCAGAGTCTAAAACAGCGCGAGCTGCTTAATAAAATTAA